AAAAAAAAAAAAAAAAAAACCCAGAAAAACAAGCACACAACATGGGAGAAATATATGAACACCGCCCAAGTTTCTCGACTTTGAACCCGCCGACGATTCGTCACCGGCTATCATCGGCCTCCATATATTCGCCGGAACACCCGTCGGGAATCTCGACGCCGCCGCTACAAATGCCGGCCTCAGTCCCGTTCCAGTGGGAGCAGGAGCCCGGAAAGCCCCTACCCGGCGGAGGCACCGTCTCCGTACCCAAACCCTCCAGGTTCCTCGACCCTCCTCCCTGCAGAATCCAGCCGACGATGGACGGCGCCGCCAAAACGCTCTCGCCGTCGTCGATCCTCGACGGGCCCTACAACGTGGCCCGGCCCAAATTCTCGTCTTCCAGATTCTCCAGAGACGGCCCAGAACCGTCGGATTTGGTCGCCGGCAGGAAGAGCACGGGGAGAAGCCTTTTGGGCAAAGGGAGGGGCGGTCAACGGGAGGTCATGGACTGGGGCTCCAACAGCAGCTTTGAGAGTGGTGAGGAAGGGAATGTGAGTAAGAGGATGGAGAGAAAGCTGAGAAGGCATAATAGCTTCTCCACTGCCTCTCATGGTAGATCATCTTCACATGTCTGGGTAACTCTCTCTCTCTCTCTCTCTCTCTCTCTGTTGATCTGTTCAATTTTGTAGATCACATAAGCAGCAACGTGGGTGTGTATTGATCCAACAGTAAAACGGCGAAGGGTAATAGGATCGAATTTTTCTTAATTGGCCAACCATCTTACCTGATTGTGAAATTCTCTCAAAAATGACAAGTGAAAAGGGACAGTGATGCAAATTATTAGAGACTTTTACCATTTGTTTCTGTTTTGTGATGGAGCCCCCAAGAGTCGAGAGATATGTCGATTAGTTAATACCAAACCGGAATCCTATCTATAGCTGTTAATAGAACGCTTACTACTTTTTATGAATTCGATTAAGTCGGGAGATTTGTGCAACTACAATCGAAACAAGCGTGTTGATTATCCACTCCATTCTGCATTGGGTCTTCGTTTAGACTTTAGACTCATGTGCATCCCATTATTCATACTTAATGCGAGAGGCCAATGGTCTCGTCTAGCTGAGATTTCAAATTCAACTTTATTCTTCCCTTGTTTCAGGCTACTATATGCGAAGGTTTCAAACACGTTATTCATTGGAAGAGTAGTAAGAAAACACACTAGCAAGGCAAAGACTGAAGAAGAAGCCACACTTTCTGTTACCAGCCGCACATCCATTGTAAAATTTACTGAACTATGGCAAAGAAGATTTGTGCAACATTTATACATTTTTATTTTTTTCGGTGTAAACAACCATTGAAGCTGTTGCTCTCATGAAAGCAGAGCTACACAATTTTTCTTTTCTTTTTTTTTTTAAAGCAGAGCTATACATTTCTCAATTCTCAAATAAGACACATTCTCAACAAAGACCCCATATTTTGTTTTCTATATTACTCACAAATCTCTGTTAGTTAATCCTTTACATATGGAAATTGAAGTCAACCTGATCACAATGTATGTACTTAACTGTTGTGTCATCTTCAAACATGACCTTTCTTTGTTGAGACATGCACATCGATTCACATATAGAAAAAATAGAGAGAAGAGACAACGGCCAAGAAGAGAAATTTAAAATTCCAGCATTACCTATATGTACCAGAAAGATTGCAAACCAAGAAAAAGAAATAAAAAGTTTCAGCATCACTTACACGTACAAGAAAGATAACAAACTACGGGTATAACAAACACGAACCGCAGAACATGCAGTAACTCATTCACCAGACTGGAGAAAT